TATATTCTTTTAAATATTTCTGATGTTTGAGTTTTGTCATTGATAATTATTTGATGTTTGATTTTTACTTTTCGAAAACATAAATAATAACTTACTATGCTGATTTTTAAATTAATAAAATATCAACTAATAAATATTCATAAGAGAATTATGCCCGCAAGTGACTGGATTTTACAGATATATACATTAATATCATCTCTCACCTATAACTAGGTGTTGTGCCCGCCTTGCGGGCATAATTTTCTTAGTGATATCACTCAACATAATCAATTATTATTTATGCTTTCCCAAAAACAAAAACAAAATTATTTATGTTCTCAAAAAAATTAAATGAAATTATTTATATGTGAGATTTTTAATCAAAATATATAATATGCCCACATATTTTGGGTTGAAATTTGAATTAAAAACCCACATATTAGAAATATTTTAGAAAATACTGTTATACAAATGTTATTGATTAATTAATATTTAATTTTAACTTGTTTATATTTATATTTTTAATATTTGTAATAAACTAATATTATTTTCAGATAACAACACAATATCTATAAAAATTATCTTATTTTTGTAATATGTGTTTATTTTGACAATTATCATATTAATTTATAATCAAATTTTTAATTTTTGTAATAGAAAAATATTATTTCAAGATAACAACATATCTATGAGAATTATCTTATTTTGTATTATGTACTTATTTTGACGATTATCATATTAATTTATAATCAATAATCTATTATAAAATATAATTCTAATGTTATTATTATAAATTTTAATGATATAATACATTATATATAAATTCATTAAGGATATAATCGATATTAACCACTCTAACTTTTCAATGCAAAAAATTCTAGATAACACCATAATATCTATAAAAGTTATCTTATTTTGTAATATGTATTTATTTTCACAATTATCATATTAATTTATAATCAAATTTTTATTTTTTGTAATATAAAATATTATTTTAAGATAACAACACCATATCTATAAGAATTATCTTATTTTTGTAATATGTATTTATTTTGAAAATTATTATATTAATTTACAATAATCTAATATATTTTATAAATATAATGTTATTATTATAAATTCGTAAATATAATTTTATTATTATAAATTCGTTTTTAATTAGATAATAAATTAAATATAAATTCATTAAAGGTATCATTGACTTGAACCGTTCGAATTTTTAATACCTAATATTTAATTCTATAATTAAAAGTATCTTTATACAAATGTTTTTGTTTGATTAATATTTAATTAAAATCGATTTTATATTTTAATTTTATAATATAATGATATTATTTTTAAAAGTAAAAATCAATTTTATATAAAATTAAGATCTATAAACATTGTCATGTTGTTACACTATTATATTCAGATAATAATAACATATATAAGAATTATCTTATTTTTGTTTTTGTATAAACTTATTATATTAATTATTCTTTATTATCTAAGATAATAACATACTGTACTTATCTAATTTTATTTTTAAAATTTCGTTTTTAATTATAAAATTAGTTATATATACAAATTTCATTAAGGGTAAAATAGATATTAACCGTTCTAACTTTTAACGTGAGAGCTCCGTTGCAAAAAATCACTTCGCAAATAATAGTATAGAAGTCAAAATCAATTTTATATAAAATTAAGATCTATAAACATTGTCATGTTGTTACACTATTATAACCTTCAGTGACCCATAAACTTGAAGACAGAGTTATTGCTCTGTTTTTCAGTGACAAATCACCTCCTCGGTGATCAGATATCATGAATAGCGAAGGGAAAAAATCAATTGAGTGAGTTTGGTTTATGTTTTGTGGAGAAATTTTTGGTTTTGTGTGTGGTTTGTGTGTTATGTTAATTTTAAATGGTCTGGTTGGTAAATAAACGAATCACTTTTGTTTTGTTTTGAATGAATGTTTAATTTTGTATCCATACAAAATACATATGTTTACATTAAGTGCAGCATTGTTTAAAGAATAATTTGGAAACAATAGACTGCAATTATCTACTACTAAACCAAAACCAAAGAATCCCCTCGTATTTTCTTTCAAAATAACAGAAAAGTAACAAGTTTACATTGCTTAGTTTTCATGCTATTAAACTTCAGAATCAATTTTTTTTCCAAAAGATATGATGTAATTGATTGATAATGTGCTTTTTCCAAAACTATAGAGGCCAACATCTCAATCTTATATTAATCTAAATAATTCGCCAAACGCATGTTAGGATATATTGTTGCACTATACCTGGTTTGATCTTTTATTATCACAACGAACTCCCCACTATAACGAGAGAGCACGTAAAGAGAATTCAAGAAGATTGAAGAAGAAAGATGATGATGATGATAATGGAATACGAGTTACAAGAACGTAACAATGTGAACATCAACGACATTGATCTCTCTCTCCTCCGCCTCTCTTCCCCACCTTACGACTACTCTCCCTCCTCCTCCTTCTCCACCGAGCCTTCTCCTGATATCAGCCCCTTGAAACGCTCCTCCCCTGTTTCAGACGAGTCCGATCAGCCCAAACGCAGGAGAATCTCCCTCCAAGACCCATTCTTTATCACATCTCCTCTTCGCTCCACTTACCCTGAAACCCAACCTTCCTCCATCGATGACCCGACCCACGCAAGCCCTGTTCCGGAGAACCAAGAAACGACGCCGTTTGCTTCCAAGAGCCATGAAACAGAGGTTGGTTTGTCATATAATACAGAACTTTTTACTCTCTTCTGGTACTATTAACTAGTAATAAATAAAGAATCTTTGGTTGTTTACTAGAGGATGAAAATGGTGAATAATCACGTCGAGGAGATCAGTCACGAAGAATCTAAGTATGATACTTATGAAGAGATCAACCGAGAAGAGACTAACTATGATGATGCTTATGAGGTTTTGGTTTATTAGTATCTTACGCTTAGCATTTTAGTTATTTTCATGGTTAGTGATTCACTTCATTGCAGACGCAGCAAGATGAGGAGGAGGAAGAAGATTGTGGAGAAGGGATGAGGATAGAGAGATCTGGAGATGGGTTTGTAATTAGGTTGAAGTGTAGATGCAAGCTAGCTTATAGGGTTCTCTTCTCTGATCACCACCTCTACTTCAAGTCCCTCTAAACCTTTCACTTGTATGTCATTTAGTTAGTAGTATCTGCTACCTCTCTCATAGTCCCACTTGTTGTAACTCTTTTTTCTTATATTGTTTGATTATACTATGGAAACATTGTTAAAGAGGAAGGAAGTAACCAAAGAAAAGTTTACAAAGTTGTTGTACAGGGAGGAGACGCTTACAGCAAAAACTCTGTTTTGCATTGTATTGAAGATTGGAATACAAAAGGTTACAACTTTTTTTTAAAGATGCTAAGAGCAAGAACTCTGTTTTGTGTGTTGTACTGAAGAAGAAAATACAAAGAAGGTTTGTAGGAGATGCTTAGAGTCAGAGCAAAGACTCTGTTTCGTGTGTTGTATTTGTTAGGACTAACAAGATCCAAATAGATTGCAAACCTCACAGAATCAATAACCTCTCACTCTCTTCTCTCTCTCGATTCACTTTGAATGATAGTAACAGAAACGTAAAATCAAGAACACACAAGTTGTTTACCCAGGGTATCTCTCCGATATGAAGAACTAATCCCTTGGGGCCAGATTCAATCCAGCAATCCACTAAAATGACTCTCTTGCTCGCAAGCTCAGAGCAGTTACAACAACTCAGATTCTAGGTGATAAAGAACAGTGATAACATCATAGCTCTGAACCTCCTCTTATATACCGAGGAGTTACAACTAAACCGGACTTTAAAATAGACTCATAGAACAAACCAGTAATTGTCCCAAACCGGAAACAATATCGAGAATGTCTAATCCTCTAAGTCCATTAGAGACTATGACTCACCTCATCTATCACCTATCATCCTATGATCCTATGATCAAGTTAAAGTTCACATCAACAACTCCACCATGAACTTAACTTTATCATATAAACATCATTCTACTTCCGTGAATTACCTTCTGGATTTACACCACCTGGCTAGTGCCAATACCTTTCAAGCTTTGAGTACCTTAAGCATGTCCAACGCTGCATTGAACTTGCTCACTGGTACCACCTTCGTTAAGATGTCAGCATGATTCCTACTCGTATGTATCTTCACAACATCAACCACCTTTGCTTCAATGATGTCTCTGATGAAGTAATACTTTGTAGCCACATGCTTTGTCCTCTCGTGAAAGACATTATTCTTCGAGAGACAAATTGCACTTTGAGAATCACACCAAACTTTTATCGGACCTTGTGTGATTCCAAAATCTTCAAGTAACCCCTTTAACCATATAGCCTCCTTTACTGCTTCAGTAAGAGCAATGTATTCAGCCTCCGTGGTAGATAACGCCACCACCGGTTGCAACCGTGACTTCCAGCTAATTACATTATCTCCCACTGTGAACACATATCCAGATGTAGATCTTTTCTTATCCAAATCACCTGCATGGTCTGAATCACTAAACCCATGTATGTTGAACTCTTTTGACTTTGTATAGCACAGTTTCAGATTTGAAGTCCCCTTGATATATCTCAGTAACCACTTGACTGCTTCCCAGTGAACTTCTCCCGGTTTGCTCATGAAACGGCTTACCAATCCTATGCCATACGCCAAGTCTGGTCGAGAACCCACCATCGCATACATTATGCTCCCAACTGCAGAGCAATAAGGATGTTTCTCTGTATCAAGTAACTCATCCTTCTCCTTGACTGATGCCAACTTACAATGAGCTCCAATTGGCGTTAAGCAGTTCTTAGCTTCTGCCATTCTGAAATTGCTGACAATCTTCTTCAAGTATTCACATTGAGACAAGCGTAACACTCCATTTTATCTGTCTCGTATGATATCCATACCTAATATTCTTCTTGCAGAGCCGAAGTCCTTCATTCGAACTCGGAACTAAGCTCCTCTTTTAACTTCTTCACTTCTAACATGTTCCTCGAAGCAAGTAACATATCATCTACATACAGCAGTAGATAGACATTCTCCTTTCCTGATTCCTCTCGAGTATACACACACTGATCATGCTCGCTTCTCACAAACCTTCTTGACTTCATAAACTGGTCAAACCGTTTGTTCCACTGACATGGCGATTGCTTCAAGCCGTATAACGACTTCTTAAGCAAACACACATGATCCTGTTTATCAGGAACCTCGTATCCTTCTGGTTGACACATGTAGATGTCTTCATCCAAATTTCCGTGTAAGAAGGCTGTCTTGACGTCCATTTGCTCCAATTCCAAGTCTTGATTCACCACTAAAGACAACTAACACCCGTATAGAAACGTGTTTAACCACATGTGAAAAATCTCCTGATAGTCAATGCCCTCTTCTTGAGTAAAACCTCTCGCCACCAATCTTGATTTAAACCTCTCAGGTTTGACTCCTTCTATCCCAGGCTTAATCTTGAATAACCATTTACAACTGATGATCTTTCGGTCTTCAGGTCTCTTGACTAATACCCACGTCTCATTTTTCTTCAACGAATTCATTTCCTCATCTGTTGACTTGTTCCATTTCTCCCAATCAGCACTTGCTTTGTCTTCTGTAAGAGTTCGTGGTTCCTCAGCATGCATTAACTCAAAACACATAAGTGCAAATGCTACTTCTTCCTCTGTACAATCATAGTCATTGTACTTCACTGGTGGAACAATAGTTCTTCTTGGTCTATCTCTAGCAAGTTGATAATTCTCCAAGCTTACTCTAGCTGCTCCACTACTGTTTTGCTCTGAAGTCTGCTGAATGATAGACTCACCAGTAGCATTACCACTCTGAGCACCACTCTGAGTAGCTCCACCCTGTTCTGAACTCTCAGCATCTTTAGACTCTTCCTCTATATCTGTTTCTGATATACCTTCTAACACCCGAACTCCACCATCTTCTGTAGACACTGAGTTATCCTTCTTTCCTTCAAAATCTTTGTAGGTCATTTCTTCTTGAAACTTCACGTTTCTTGAAACAATACACTTCTCACCCTCTAACATCCACACTTTGTACCCCTTGGTGCCGGCTGGATATCCTATGAAGATTCCTTTTGTAGCCATTGGCTTCAATTTTCCTTGATCTGCATACACATATAACACAGACCCAAAACGTTTCATATGTTTATAACCAAGTTGTTTACCTAACCAAACCTCTTCGGGTGATTTGAAGTTTATGGATGCGGTTGGAGTTCGATTGATCATATATGCTGTTATGTTCACAGCTTCTGCCCAAAACACCTCTTGTAAACCAGATTCATTTAGCAGACACCGAACCTTCTCCATAATAGTCCTATTCATTCGCTCGGCTACTCCATTTTGTTGAGGCGTGTACGTACATGTCCTTTGTCTAGTAATTCCATTTGTCCTGCAAAACTCGTTAAACACCCTATTGACAAATTCTAGACCATTGTCAGTCCTCAAGTATTTTACTTTCTTATCCACCTGATTCTCTACTAAAACTTTCCACTCACAAAACTTAGTAAATGTTTCATCCTTAGTTTTGAGCAAGCAAACCCATAGTTTTCTAGAAAAATCATCTATAATTGAGAGAAAATACTGGTTACCAGACAAGGACGGAGTCACATTTGGTGAGCCCCAGAGATCAGCATGTATGTACTCTAGAACCTGCTTTGAGTTATGCTGTCCCGTCTCGAAGCTCACCTTCTTTGCCTTACCAACCATACAATGCTCACACATAGTATCTCTTCCAATATCACGTTTCTTCAAGACACCATTCCTAACGAGTACCTGCAAATTTCTGTAACTCATATGACCAAGCCTACTATGCCATAAAGATACCTCTTGTGTCTTTCACGCATAGCACGCTTCAGATGTTATTGTCTCTCCATCAAGAATGTATAGGCCATTCTTCAACGTTCCTTGTAACGCCACCTTGTTGTTCTTGCGGAATATAATCTTTCCATCTCCTCCAAAGTGAGTAAAGCCCAACATGTCAAGAGTACTAGTAGAAATCAGATTCCTACAAAGTGTTGGGACATATCTAACATCTTTCATAAGTTTAACAGATCCTCCCTTTGTGTTCAGTCGAATGGTTCCACGTCCTGAAGTCTCTATTGAATGATAATCTGCAAGCAAGATCTTCGTAGGACCTATCTCTGTAAATTCCACAAACCAGTCTCGTCTACACGTCATATGGTGAGTACACCCTAAGTCAATGACCCAGTTATCCTGAGCATCATCTGCTGACGAGTGTAAAGCACTCATCTGCTCAGTTTCTCCAATAGCCACTGCCACTTCTCCACTGTCATCAGCTTCCATTCGTCGTTTCCTTGCATACCAGTCCTTCTTAACATGGCCTTCTTTCTTGCAATACCAACAAGTGACTTTTCTCTGTTTTGAGTTGCTCCTTGATCTTCCTCCTCGTGTGTCATGTTGCTCTCTACGACTTGGCCTTCCTCTATCATTTGTATATAAGACTGTTGAAGAGCCTTTCTCAACTCTACTACTCTCGTTGATCTCCCTTTGTTTAGATCTTGCTGCTGAGATGACTTCCTCTAGCGTTATAGACTCCTTCCCATACTTCAATGTGTGTTTCAGCTGATCATAGCTCCCTGGTAAAGAACTAAGAAACACAATGGCCTGAATCTCACCAGTAACACTAACGTTTAAGCTTCCCATCTCAGTAACAATCTTCAAGAATTCATCAACATTCACATCAATCGTTTTCGTGCCATCACACTTAAACGTGTAAAATTGAGACTGCACGAAGATTCTGTTGGGCAACGACTTTGACATGTACAGCCTCTCTAAGAGTGACCACATCGAAGCTGCAGTAACACAGTGTTTAATCTTTCTTAAAACATGATCGCTGATATTCAAGATTATCATATCTTTCGCTCGATCATCCTTCTCCAATTTGATTGGATCCACGATCGTCTTCGTTTGAGAGGATGTAGCCTCCTCTTTCTCCTAATCTTCATCATCATCTTGTTTCTTCCCGTCTCCTTTCGTCACCGGTACTTCGATCTCAAAATTATCCGAGAGGATAACTTCTTTCCAACCAGAAACTCCGAAGTGCGCCATCATTCGAATCGTCCACAAAGAGAAGTCACCGGTGCCGCCGAAACGCTCCACCTCCGCTCGAGTGATCTTCTTCGCCATCGACATTGAGATCTTGAAACAGCCGCGTCGCGTGATCGTGAATCAACCACGCTCTGATACCACTTGTTACGACTAACAAGATCCAAATAGATTGCAAACCTCACAGAATCAATAACCTCTCACTCTCTTCTCTCTCTCGATTCACTTTGAATGATAGTAACAGAAACGTAAAATCAAGAACACACAAGTTGTTTACCCAGGGTATCTCTCCGATATGGAGAACTAATCCCTTGGGGCCAGATTCAATCCAGCAATCCACTAGAATGACTCTCTTGCTCGCAAGCTCAGAGCAGTTACAACAACTCAGATTCTAGGTGATAAAGAACAGTGATAACATCATAGCTCTGAACCTCCTCTTATATACCGAGGAGTTACAACTAAACCGAACTTTAAAATAGACTCATAGAACAAACCAGTAATTGTCCCAAACCGGAAACAATACCGAGAATGTCTAATCCTCTAAGTCCATTAGAGACTATGACTCACCTCATCTATCACCTATCATCCTATGATCCTATGATCAAGTTAAAGTTCACATCAACAGTATTAAAGAAGGAATACAAAAAAGGTTACAACTTTTTAGGAGATGTGTTATATGGGTCAAGGTCAAATCTTGTTTATAGCCTCTGAATTAACAAAAGAGACAAGTAGGCCTTGATTCTAGCTGCCGAGAGCATCTCTGATGCGTACAATAAGCTGCTGCACGCGCCTTCACGCGCCGACAACTCATGTTTCTTTATTCCGCCGTAGTAGTCACCACAAGCTCACACCTTCTCCATCTCGCTGCTTCCGCAACAACGTCAGTCTCTCTCTCATCTCTTCTCTTATTCTCTTGAAAACTTTTCATCTATCAGAACTGTTCTCTATCCTGACATAAAATGGAACAGCCTGATCTCTCTGCAAACACTGTGATTGATCAACCTCGAGCTCTCACTGATAAAACAACCCTAATCCGTGACGCGGGTCCTTCCAAATTCCAGGTCTTTCCCTCTCTATCTCTCTCTCTCAAGGATCAAAGTTATCCTCTTTCATAAAGCTTTAAGTTTGTGTCTCTGCGAGTTCTTCAGGTGATTGCAGACTTTGATGGGACTTTAACGAGATACCGAGTCAATGGACTTCGAGGCCAGAGTATATGTTCATCTCACAGTTTTATCTTTTATGTTCTCATCAATCTAAGCTGAAACCACAACTCTGTTTTTGTTAGGCAGTCATGGCATCTTGCAGCAAGGAAACGCAGATTTCGATGCTAAGAGGGAAGCATTGTATGAACACTATCATCCTCTTGAGTTCTCTCCTGTCATTCCCCTTGAAGAAAAAACCATACTCATGGAAGAATGGTACTATTACTCTTCTTACCAATCACATACATTGTCCTTGTCTTTTCATGTTCTAATTGCAAGAGAATCTTTTCTACTAGGTGGAGTAAAACTCATGATCTTCTAATTGAGGGAGGTTTAACATATGATGCTATCAAGGATTCTGTTTCTAATTCTTCCATAGCTTTTAGAGATGGTGTGGCTGAACTGTTTGAGTTTTTGGAGGTAAAAGAATCAAGTTCATGGTTGCTGTTACTATAGCTTTTGTGTATATTAACCAATCCACTCTGTTTGCCATGTGATTCAGGAAAAGGAGATCCCAGTTTTGATTTTTTCAGCAGGACTTGATGATGTTATTGAAGAGGTGACTCTCTCAAAACTCTATTAGCACATGCGATTGATCTACTATTTCTGTTTCCTATATAATGAATATGCTTTTCTTTAACTATATAGTCTCTCTTTTTAAAACAGGTTTTGAGGCAGAAACTTCATAGAACATTCAAGAATGTAAAGATTGTGTCCAACAGGATGGTGTTTGATAATGATGGACGACTTGTGTCTTTTAAAGGTACACATTTGGTGTATGTTAGTTAGACACAACTACTACTTTGTTGTCAATCAAATAATTATAGGAAACGACTAAGCCATTTGATATGTATAAGTTGTTGCAAACCATAAACTGCAGTTTCTTTTACCTCTTACAATTCTACAGGAAAGCTGATTCATGTGCTGAACAAGAACGAACACGCTTTAGACATGGCTGCTCCACTTCACGACCGACTTGGTGCTGACAACGGTGAGAAGGTTGAAGAGAATGCGTACGTGAAACAAAGAACAAACGTTTTGCTTCTTGGAGATCATATGGGGGATCTTAGGATGTCTGATGGTTTGAACTACGAGACTCGGATATCTATTGGATTTCTGTGAGTTTTGTCTTCTCTTTCTTTTCATCTATCTCATTCTGCTCTGTTTTATATCTCTCCTCTCACTATTTTCATTTCTCCAGGAATGATAACATTGAAAAGAGTCTTGAAAGCTACCGCAAGGCCTTTGATATCGTTTATCTTGTAAGTCGCATAAGCATTCTATGGTTTGAACTTTGAAGTTTACATATAGAGATGATCTGAATCACCTGGAAAAATAGTGTGCTAACAGAGATTTTTTTTGTTTCTTTGTGGGTCTAAAAAGAATGATGCACCTATGTGGGGAGCTCTGGAGCTTGTTTCTCAGTTTTTTCCAACAGAAGAAAGTTAACTGCGATGCCTGAGACTGAGAAAGCCATGTTAAGTTCAAGACTCTTTCTTCAATTGTCTTGATTGAAACAAAGTTTTAACTAGAATTTCTGTTGTTTGCTTCAGATTTTTTTTAAGTATAAGAGAATCATTATTGAGAGACTCTTAATAAACCAAAGTGCTCTAACTCATTGGTACTTGTATAGACAGAGTCACATGATATGTGCCTTTAAACTAATAAAATTCAAGTTCATATCATTGTAGTTTGACTGAACGAAAGTCAAAAATATAATGAAACATCCCAAAAAGTGAAGAAAATACAAAGAAGCAAAATTGGTACTAAAACCATCAATGCCCTATGTAAAGTATGAACTAGAGAATTAAAATGTAAATAGGTAAGGTACTATAGCCAGTACAAAGATAAAAGGGGATTCACATCCTGAAGATGGTTTTGTCTTCTAACACATATATATATAGCTTCTGATTCTATTAGTCACCGGTCACAAAAGACTTCTGCTCATAGTACTTCTTCTCACTAGCTTCCTTTTTCAAATTACGTTTCTGTATTTACACATGAAGGCATTGACTGAGACATTGGCCAGAGTGAAGCAACATGAAGAATGATAAAAAAAGAAGAAGAATGAAACATGCCTGATAAGCTTCATGGTTTGCTACAATCCTCTTGATTATGGTGGAAGTTGAGATATCAAGAGGGCTTTCTAGTACTTGGAATATGCCCATGCTTATTGGTACTGCATACGGATTATCTTCCTCCTGTCAAATCATTCAACAAGAATCTTGAGAAATTCCATCTCTTTGTATTCTACCTTCTATATAAATCTCGTTTTACCTTTTGAAAATCATCGCTCTCAGCTACTGTCCCATGAACCACCAACGAAATGTCAAATGTCGTGATCTGCAATATCCAAATCATTGTGAAAAATAGCTTTTCATGAAAGTCATTTGGATTATTATAAGTAAGGAGCAGAGAAGTTCACCGTGTCTTTTGACACTTCCCATGGAGCACCAATTATCACTTCGTCTACATAGCGGCATGCCAAAACACTTAAGCTTCTTTCATGGAGATTCATGATTGGGTGTTGTGCTCCTCTTTTACCACTGCACATCAACGTATAACAAGCACAGTTTGGTTCGACGAATTTTAAGCAGAGAAGCAATTATGCAAATCTAAACCAGAATGAAGACAACAAGTATTTACTTATGCTCCAAAGGCTAAAACTAGCATCACCATTTTATTTTTGTCAATACTCACATCAACAACTAAATTGATTAGCCGCTATAACAAATGGAAGAACTGGAAATAAATTGATAACGAGTAAAACACGAAAAATTACTATAAAGCAAACTGCCAAAGATGAGCATTTTCTAACCTGACTGTCAGGTCATTATGTATTCCAACAAGAAGAAAGTCTCCAAGCTCTCGAGCACGCCTGAGAATCTGTAAGAATTAAATAATCAAGAACAAGAATCAACAACATTGGCAGAAAAAAAATTGGAGAGTCGCTCAGTAATGTTAGTCTGCACCAAATAACCTTACTATACCTCAACATGGCCAGCATGGAAAAGATCAAACGCACCATCTATGTAAATTATGCGTGCATCAGGCCCTGGCCCCTGTCACCATAAGCATGTATTTTGATCAACCTCAGATACAAAATGAGAAGGAGAAAGGTAACTTAATCAAAGAATATAATCTTAATTTAAATCTAGCGGGCAAGAATTGACATAAGCGATAGAAAGAAATGTGAAGCGGCCTTCTGTCACTCAATAGGAAAAAATAGATAACACACATAAAAAGTATTAAAATGATTGGTGAAATGGTGATAGAAAGGGATTAACTAATTATGTTTCAGAAGGTAGGAACAAAGAGTGAGTCAGACAGTGTTCTCACTGCTACTCGTTCTCTTTAATAATTAAAACAGAAGAGGAAAAAGAGCCAAGCTAATAGCTATTAGAATCAATAGTCCTGTATTTGTTCAACCTACTAGATCATTAAGCAAGATATAGATATACACAACTCCAAAGATCTAAGTTATGTGTATGAGTAAGATAAACAGGGAGAAACGCAAAGAACTCTTCGAGAATTGCACACCTTGCCATTGGAGAACTGAACAATCCTGCGGGAAGTAGGAAGAAAATGTGAGACGCGAGTACCAGCAGAAGAAGCTCCGTCCTCAAACCTTGGGCTATTATGGCCATGGCTAAACTGCCTTTGCAGAGACGAATGACTCTGACTGTTCGATCTCTCTCTTACACAGAGAAGCATACGACCTGTAGAACTCAAACAAAGTTATAATCTTAAAGTGATTAGTCAAACCTATAATGAACACTTAATAACATAAACATGATGCAGCTCGTATCTCCCCTTAACAGATTAAAAAAACGAAACCTTTAGATGTGATTACACATTTTTAAGATAAGCTATCATGAGCACTTGATTACATAAACATGATGCAGCTCGTATCTCCACTTAACAGATTAAAAACCGAAAAACCATTCATCTAAGCAAGAATTGAATGTAAGTTTTTTACCAACGATATCAGTGCTGGAAACTCCTTCAGTACGCTTAATCTGCTTATACCTCCCAGCCTTCTTAGCCGCTGCATAAGCATCAGTTCCATCAGGAAGAACACAAGGATCATCCCCATGAATTATGTAATCAATCTGATACTCATCAAACAATCTCTTCATAAACTCCTCCGTGATTGCGTAAGGAGCGTCCGGTATCACTTCATCCACCCACTTCACAGCCTTCACCATTATCAATCTAAACACAGCAACAAAATCTATTAGATATAAAAGTATTTTCAATGAGCCGCTAACTAATATCGATAGGTCAATCCACTTATCACCAATTGGTTTTAAATTGGAAACACATAATAAACTCGAATCTAAGATAGTATCAGCGTCCAGATCTTAACCTCTCGTGAAGAGGCGTAACGGGAGGTCCTTTGTTAGCTATGATTTCCTCGTCGCTGACAACACCAACGACTAATTGGTCACCGAGCGCACGCGCTTGGCGCAGCGCGTTGCAGTGGCCGTAGTGCATCATGTCGAAGCAACCGTCCATGTAGACGCGAACGGGTTTCCGTTTTCTGAAGCATTTCCATGGAGGAATCAGACCTAGACCTAACCCTAGGCCTAAGGGAAGGTCGCCTTTGAGGAAGAGGTGGAGGAAGGAAGCTCCGACGGCGAACGTAGCTCCTCCGATCAAGCAAGTTCCGACGATCTTCTCTTTCTCCCAAACCATTTTTGGTCTACAGTCGTTCTCGGATCTTTTGAGCGGTTGTTTGCTTCACATTTGGAGACGTCTCAGATCTCTCTTGGAGATGTTTCTTCTCTTTGGAAATGGAGATTTGGAATCGGAATCATGTTTTTATTCTTGTTCTCTAGAGCTGGACCAAATCATCTTAACCGAAATTAAATTTGATGGTTTGGGTTGGTTGGTTAAGCTTCATCATTTGAAGTTGTAAATAAAGTTCCATTTATTATTTTTTTTTTCTTTTTGGGAAAAATCTTCTATTTATTATTAAGTTTTTCTTTTTGTAAAACAAAGAGGGATTTTGACCAATTAACCATAGCAACAACATTTATTATTATGCTTTTTTATTTAAAATATTTTTCCATTTTAGTTATATAAGTATCACAGTAATGATGTCAAAAAGTATCACAGTAATGGAAAAAACAAGATTATTAGTTTTTCTTTACTTTATAGAATTTAATTTTAAAAACTTTTATATCTTGTTCATCTTTTTAGAATTGCTTTTCCAGATTTCTGTTCTGGATTTATTCTTGCTATTCAGATATTTAAAGTTTCTTTACTTTTAATTATATGTTTTGCTATTCAGATATTTAAAGTTTCTTTACTTTTAATTATACGTTTTAAATTTTTTTCCTGTTTAACTTTCCTCGTCAGAATTAAAAAGAAAAAGAAACTAATGGATGGACAAATTAATAAAAATAAACTGTCTTTTCCATATTAAATTTAAAATCATAAACTACTGTTATTAATCATGTAATAAATATAGATGATGATTTATATTTTATTAATATATATTTTATTAAAACTAAAGTACAAATAAAACTAAAGTTTTTTTCAACAAATTATTACACTAATTATCTTTCAATTTTTTCACTTAGTTTAACAGTTTCATTAATTATATTTCTTTCACAATACATCAAATCATTAATTATATTACCATAATAATAATATAAAAATAATAATAATAATAATAATAATAATAATAATAATAATAATAATAATAATAGAGCAAATTTATATCTATTAGTTAATCATTATAAATTTTGTACCAATTATAAAAATCAAGAATGTAAAATGACAGGATTTTACATATGGTTAAAATTTCAAAGTTTGGTTTAATTTGTTGTATTAAGACTTTTTATTTGTTTTAGTTTCGGTTGGCGAAAAACTACATAACCAAATACAAATACACTAGGTACTTGCCCGCACCTTGTGCGGGAAATATATATCCAACAATATTAAATGCATTTTCGTATTAAAAAATTTCATCAGAATGATGATTAATATATAATATTTTTAATGTGTTAGTCTTTTTTTTCTTTCTCTTTTTTCCTTTTGTTCTCCTTTTTTCTTTTTCTTTTTTTTTTGAGCAAAGTTCTCCTTTTTTCTATTTTCTGATTTATACTATGAAAATAAATCAGAAACTCAATTATAAAACCAAATCAGTCGTAATCCTATTCCAAAGCTTCTAAGGTTGTTAGGTTTTGCTGTTAGAATATGAGTTTGAAGGTCTGTATACTAAGACTTTAGTGGATTTTATGGTTTGGTTTAGATCTGGGAATTCAATTTGATTTTGGTTCAAATATTTTGAGTTCGGTTGGTTATTTCGGTTTTCGGTTCAGTTAGGGTAGCAAAGTTAGGAACCGGATAATATTAGGAAAAATTTAGGTCCAGTTTGGTTCCACTTTGGAGGATAATTTCTGATAGTTTAGAGTTTTTCAGGTTAAATATCAGTTAATTCGAGTTGTTTGGGTAAAAAATATCGGGTTATTCGGACAATTTTAAATATTTTAGATTTAAAATATTCAGCTAAAAACTATCATCAAGATAATCTTCACATGGATGAACTGTCATCCTACAGGTACGACACGCAACAAAATACCACTTTGGAGTAGTTTCAATGGAAATAAAGTGTAACACATTTTTCCACCTATAGAAACAAACAAATCAACTTCACATAAAACTAAATTCATCAATAACTTCAGTTGACATCCGTTAATTGTAACCAAAAATATTTAATAAATGGAACATACCTCATTCGATACATTTAATGCACCGATAATTTTATTGGATTTTTAATGAAAAACTCATCATATAAATATACTCTTATAGGCGTAGATTTTGGATCAAAGTTTTCTCTATTAATAGCCAAATCATCATTGGGCAATTTGGATTTGAAATCGAGCACTTCTTGTAGTTGTGGATCAAAAAGAATTTCAGTGGCATTGAATACATTAGAAACACGAACAGCTCCTAAAACATCAGCATAATTGCAACAAAAAATAAAAATATTATCAGCAATTTAGATGTTAGATTCTGTGGGAAAAAATACCTCTGAATTCTTGCGCACAAACAAATCGAGCAACACAGACAATACATGATGCTTCATTAGATTTAAAGAAATTTGATACTTCCTTTGCATACCCAGACCACAACGTACATATTAAACGTGTATCACTAAATATTTAAAATACAAAACAGTATAAGATTACTAAAATAAAATAATATAAAATTAAAAGCTGAATAAAACTTACGTTATGTCACGAATTGTTAATTCCAGCTTAATTGTTGACTTTCCTTTTGCCATGAGATCTTCTGAAGGTCCAACATTCACAACTTCACCAATAATATCTAAAACACAAAACATTAGAATAAGGAACTGGTGAAAAAGAGAATATAAATAGGAACACATCAATTTAAAACATTATGACATAGAAAATTTACCGATCAAGACTTCTTTTTCATACTCACATCCTAATATTTCTTTAAAGTCTTTGAAATAATTATTTGGAACTTCTTTTGAAAAATCATCACAAGGAGTGATTTTGGTTGTTCTATAAAAGTTAATCTTAAAAGAAAGAGGATTCGTTCTATATTCTCTTGTATAATCACCGATGGTGAAATTATTCAGAATAAAAGAGTCTCTTTGACATAACTTAGATTTGAAGTTACTTAGAGAATAATGCTTTTGTATTCTTTTGTTTAGATTCTATTAGCTTTCGATAATGACTAAGTCAGCGGCGCATAATCAATATAATAACCAACTAAAATATTTTGATAATGCTTTTGTTCAAAAATATATTTTACCGGACTATAATCAATATAATAACCAACTAAAATATTTTGATAATGCTTTTGGTCAAACATGTAATTTATCGGATTATTATTAGTTAATTATTTATAATAATCAACAAAAAGTTAAAAACATGTTATTTAAGTATTATGAATGAATATATTATGAAAAATATTATTTATAACTAAAACTTATGAAAATTACCTAAAATCATGGAGGACATGACACCTCAGCAAAATTACTTCTTAAATAATAGTATAGATACTTATGTGAATAAAATAATAATTTAAATTAAAATAATAAAAATGTATTATAACTATTTTCACTTAATATTTTTACTCTATATAACTATTTTGGTTAAATAAAAAACTTTTCTATTTCACTTAATTTAGTCAAACACATATAAAAAAATCCCTAGGATAGACCTAAAAACGTTTTTATCATAAATATAGACTTTAAACATAAAAATGATCAAAATAGATTTAAAGTTTTTATTAAAAATACGTAAATATACATTTATACCTTTTGGGTCAACTAATCCTAGACATTTTTCATTTAGAGTTGAGGAGTAAAATGTTGGGGATAGGATTTCAAATTTTTAAAAATACAAAAAACTTGAAAGTTTCAAAATAAAAAAAAATGATATTTTGATCATTTTAGTTTTTAAGTCTATTTTGTGACAAAAAAACTTAAAAAGATCTATTCGAGAGAATTTCCCTATAAATTTTTATTTTTATTAGTTTACAGAATCAATTAGACATGAACATTGGATACCCATTCAGGTACGGCTTGTTTTTCGAGTATTGTTTTTTTTATTAAGTAAATCCCACTTAGATATTATAAATTTATGTGTGAATCTGAATGAGTTCAGTTCTGATGTATAAGAGCCTAAAATTAGCCAAATAACCAATTTATCTGAAAAAGATTTAAATATTTATATAAAAAATAATCATATTATCTGATCTGGTCTAGGTTTTTTGAATACTAGTATATGGAAATACATTTAAAATATAGAATATTTATACTATTATTTGCTACATGATTTCGCAACGGAGCTTTCATGTTTAGAATTAGAGCGGTTAATATCGTGTTTACCCTTAATATATATATTAGTCAGAAAATAAAAAACCAAATTTTAATTTTATTTGTTTAGATAAGTGATTAAGATTAGCAATAATAAGAATTATACAAAATCTAAAAAGATAATTCTTATATATATTGTGTCATTATCTAAAATCAAATAAAATTTTTAACTTTATAGAATTAAAAAAATATTAAGTAATTTTAAAAGTTTATTTATAAATAATAAATCCAGTAGACTATTCAATTTTAAAAAAAAATATATTATAATTTGTAATTAATAACGAATGTATTAATAAGTAATCATAAAATGTTTATATGTGTATATGCGGGCGAAATGCCTAGTTAATTATAAAAAACAAATAACAATTTATAAAAACGTAAAAATCAATATCCATATTACAACATCTAACAGCTGCTGATCAAGACCGTTTTGAGGCGAAATAACGTGTTATCAAAAAAACATATTCCCCTCACACTTCATGAAGATGTGTAGATATTTGCGCAAGCAATTCTTTCGTGATCTTCATGTGCCACCTCTTGCTTCACTCATCCTTCATCCTTGATGTAAGATGCAACTACCAATGATCAATTTCACCAATTACCGTCTTCTCCCTCACATGCATCATATAGATCCCCATCTCAATGAAACAAAACGTTGATGTCTGTATCTAGAAAGTACTAAACTCTCCTCGCTGCGGTAATTGTTGGTTGAACTTCGTGTCCAAGAATAGATGATGAACAATGATAAAAGAGCTTTATATCAGACACCATAGCGGGGTCTATAAGAAAGCAACCAAATTGAAAATAGATTGAGAATTTGTCATCATTAACCCCCATTGAAACAAAATTTCACTAATAAGACCGAGATACCATTTATAAAGATGGATATTCGCTTGGCAGCCTCCAAAGTATTGCATAGTAGCATAAAGATCGTCATGTGTCCGACTCCTCCAGGCACTGGAGTGATCGCTGAAGCAACACCTAGAGCTTCCTCGTCACATAACGATACAGTTTCCATGCTCACATCTTCTATCCGGCTATCACAACATGCTTCAATGTCTTACCTGAAACAAGAAAACAAACCCAAGAAAAGAACATTTGGTCTCTTCATTTAGCTCTAACCTAAGGTTTTCTGTATCAAAATGAATTTTCTGTCCTTGTATGAGTCTTTATACACTGGGAAATCAAAGACTTTTGATCAGTTTAGAAGTATTACTTTTACCTTAACAGGACATGTTCCTACATCAATGACAACTGCTCCAGGCTTCAGCTAACTTCCACGAACTAGATTACTTACACCCGCGGTTGCAACCACAATATCAGCTTCTCTGGTAATGTGCTATGGATCCTTTTCCAAAACATGCACTATGCTTACCGTAGTGTCACACCTCTACCCAAGACATATATGCATTGTTAATACTCAAATGCTTAAGCATAAATAGACCCCGATCCCAGGGCCGATCCTGGACACTGTCTCATGAAACATTTGTAACAGGCTCCCAATTTTATAGGCCTCCAAAAAATAAAAATCTAATTATATTATATATATATATAATTTTAATAATCATATACAGCTCATTTTAAATTTGTTTTAAAAGATATAGACAATTCTTATTTTTTTCTGTGAGAAAACTTATGTCTTATTAGTACTTTGTATTTGAAAATATTTTTACAAGTTTGTTTCTATTATTTTTTGTGATGTTGTATATTGACCCCCGTTTTCTATTTTGTTTTCAGCTCCCAAAATTTCAGGGCCGGCCCAGGCCCGATCGCAGTAACTACAACAATACCTACAGTAGTAAATACATGGGAAGACCAACGATGTTGCTTCTTCTAATCACCACAGCATTTTTTCTCACCTACTCTGATCAATAACACTCCATACAGTCCTTAGGAAGTGCAAGATACGAATAGAGCGCTCGCTCCCTCTCACCGTGTCAAGGTAAATCCATCATGGAACAATCAGTAAGGGAAAGTATTACCCTAGGAAAGGAGATGGAGGATTAGAGTCAAGAGACACTATAATGGAGCTTAAGCAATGCACTTACTTCCCTTTGTTTTGTACGAACAGCCGCATGCTCTAACAATCACTGCATCACATGAAGAAAAAAAACATAGAAAAGACGAAACCTACTTGGCCAATGTACAAAATACATATCAGACAATGCGAACCTTCAGAGTTGTGACAGGTAAGCTTAGAGCATCTCCATCCATACCCCATTTTTTTCCTTCAAAATGAAGTAAAAGTGATTATGGAGTAACATATGCTCCAACCCCACTCTATTTCTTACTCCATAATAAAATTTACTCCATAGTAATTTATTTTTTGTTTGTTCATTACTACATTATGGAGTAAGAAATAGAGTAAGGTTAGAACATTTTTACTCTAGAATCATTTTTACTTTTTTTTTTTTAAAAAAAAATAGAGTTTTACATTGAAGATCTCTTAAACAAATAATACACTTTGACAGTGATAATAACAATAAAAAACTTAAACATTTCATAACTTGATCCTCTCTAAACTCATCTTATTCATTACATCTACAGAAACAAAGTATGCTTCCACAATCATGTTCTTTACTTGGCGAAAATTCTTCTTACTTAAATTCTTAACGAAAATAGACAGATCGAAAAAAAGTAAGAAAATACTGTATGTAATAATAATTAAAATGAAAATAAAAAAATAAGTCACCACGTGTGAAGAAAGACACGTGTTATGATCTAGAGACAGATCTCGCAAGTGGGCTGAATAATCAAACGGCTAAGAAAGCACCACACGTGCGAAATAGTGTGTATCTCTCTGTTCCTTCCCCTTCCAAGTAAACAAAAAGGAAAAGAGACGATGCGATCGGGCTAAGTGCAAACACACTTAGAGCGAGAAAACTAGTGAGAGAGAGAGTGAAGAAGCGAGTGGGAGTGTGGATTGAGTGTAAGCTATAGGAGACAAAAAGGAGGGAAACATCTTTTGAATCGACGTCGTTTTCGGGATCCAATGCTAAAGGCATTGTATTAAAATCTAAAACCAGAAAATATGAAAAGCGGAGGTGTCGGTAGTGGAGGAGGTGGCGGAGGAGGAAAACGCCGGTGGAAAGTTCTGGTGATTGGAGTGTTGGTTCTTGTGATCTTATCAATGCTTGTTCCTCTTGCTTTCTTGCTCGGCCTTCACAACAGCTTTCACTCTCCAGGTACTTACCTCCTCCCTCACGCTTCTTCGATCTACTGTTTCAGATCTATTTTCTAATCTCATCTTTATACTATTTATTTGCTTCAGGAATTGTCACTGTCAAGCCTTCTTCTCCGGTAAGCATTACGCTTCTTTAATGGTTTTCTTGATGTGTTGTTGTAACGCTTTTTATTTTGGAAACAGTTTGAGGGATTAAGCAGAATCAATGCTACAAAACATCCCCAGGTATTGTTAATTCTCACCTTTCATTGATTTCGATTCAATTTGTTTCTTGATCTTTCTTGCTGGCTTTTGTAGAGAGATCTATCGGATAGAGTAGATCAGGTTCTCCAGAAAATCAATCCAGTGCTTCCCGAGGTTAGTAGGCATCATCGACCTTGTTAAGTTTCTGTGTTATAATATAGATTTTTAACTAAAGTTTTAGATCTTCTTTTCGATGTAGACTTAGATCTCTATGATCGTTGGAACCTTTCACTGCTCTCAAGTTGACCACACTCAATTCAGATCTTGATTTTTCCACCATTTGCTCATACTTCTTGCCATTAATGTTTCCCATCTTGTCATTTCTCAATGACGTAAAGATGTATATGCTTTCTACTTTGATCTAACTATAAAAGTATTTCGCCACAGTTTGCTCCTGCTTGACTTATGGAAACTTATGCAAGATGTGTCATAGTGTAGACTGTATAGTTAATCAGTGAATCTGCAAAACTTTTTTTTTTTTAGCTCAACAAGCAAACATGAGCTGAAGAGGCTGTAGTTTGCCACTTATTGTATCTTTCTTTCTTTCTTTTGTGCGAGTTGCTTAAGGGGGTAGAATATTTTAGATGTATGAGTGAATTTTTCTTTATTTGACTATCTCATGTGACTAAAAAGTTGACATACATTCATGAAATATGTTACTTCATGTGTTGTTTTGAGTGAGCTGGTTAATGTGTATGTAACAATTCTTCGACTAACGTTTTTCTCTTGTTGTTTCACATGCTAGAAAATCGACATAAACGTGGATTCCAAATATATGAATAAGACAAGCATTGGTGATTCTAAAAAAAGAGGTTACCTTTACAAGTTCCACTCTGTTGAAATTTTTTTTCCAAATATTCGGATCCGCAATCTTACGCCTGGTGCTCAATTAATCTGCAGGGTTACCTGTGTCCCCAGCTGCTGTTTCCAATCCAAGCCCTGTAAATGTACAAATGGATTACGTAGTTTCTGTAGTAGTCTTTTTGTCTCTCTCACCAATCATCATAAGTTAACTTATTCTGGTTTGTTATGTGAACAGAAAACTAAAACCGAAGTCTCGCACAAAGGTGTTCAGGGGACAATAGTAAATGCTGATGAAACTCAGAGAACTTGTCAAGTGAAATATGGGAGCTACTGTCTCTGGAGGGAGGAAAATAAGGAACCCTTGAAAGATGCTAAGGTGAAGCACATGAAGGACCTCCTATTTGTGGCTAGGGCATACTATCCAAGTATTGCTAAAATGCCTTCTCAAAGCAAGTTGACCCGGGATATGAAACAGAATATCCAAGACTTTGAGCGTATTCTTAGTGAAAGCTCAGCAGATTCTGACCTTCCACCACAGTAAGTTCGTTACCAGTTTGGGGTTAAGCATCTTTGTACTGACCGTAGAGTTGGATGCTAGTCAAATGAATCTCTCCTTGATTGCAGTTAGCCTTGTCTGGGCGTCCTGTTTTCTAGCGGTTTACTTGCTTTCTCTATGTTAATAGAAAATCTTAGGCAGATAACATTCACACTTCATTTGTTCAATGTGCACACCCAAAAATACTCTTATTTTGAAGTCTTATGTGTGCCAAATATTTTAAACCAACATAAGAGGATGTTGTTTGTTCTCTTTGAGACAAAGGTTTCATGTATAGAATCATCTGTTATTTTGCTTTTATCGTACTTATTGTGCATCTCGTTCCACTGATGTGTCAGGGTTGATAAAAAGTTTGGGAAGATGGAAGCTGTAATTGCAAAAGCAAAGTCTTTTCCTGTCGACTGTAACAATGTTGACAAGAAATTGAGACAGATCCTGGATTTGACTGAGGATGAAGCTAGTTTCCACATGAAACAGAGTGTGTTCCTCTACCAGCTTGCAGTACAGACAATGCCTAAGAGTCTTCATTGCTTGTCAATGAGACTAACTGTGGAGTATTTCAAGTCAGGTTCAGTTGATACTGAGGATAGTGAGAAATTTTCAGATCCCTCATTGCTTCACTTTGTTATCGTATCCGACAGTATACTTGCATCTTCCGTTGTGATCAACTCAACGGTTTTACACGCAAGGGTATGTATTAAATCCAGTTTCCTTTACTTTGTGTTTCTTTTTCCATGCAGTTGTAGAACCTTTATATCTAACTTTTTGTTGGTTGGTGATGTTTCAGGAAAGTAAAAACTTTGTTTTCCATGTACTGACAGACGAGCAGAATTACTTTGCGATGAAACAATGGTTTATCAGGAATCCCTGCAAACAAGCAGCTATTCAAGTATTGAACATTGAAAAACTCGAGCTGGACAATTCTGATATGAAACTGTCTTTACCTGCGGAGTTCCGTGTCTCCTTCCTCAGTGGTGACAATTTGGCGTCACAAGGGAATCGAACACACTACTTATCAATGTTCTCTCAATCTCACTATCTCCTCCCAAAGATATTTCACAAGTTGAAAAAGGTTGTGATTCTGGATCATGACGTTGTAGTCCAGCGGGACTTATCTCCTCTTTGGGAGCTTGATATGGGAGGAAAAGTGAATGGGGCAGTGAAGGAGTGCTCAGTAAGATTGGGTCAGCTAAAGAGTCTCAAGGGAGGAAGTTTTGATACTAATGCTTGTCTCTGGATGTCTGGATTGAATGTCATTGATCTTGCTAGATGGAGGGAGCTGGGAGTTTCAGAAACCTACCAGAAATTTTACAAACAGGTCAGTTTTCTGAAAAAACCTAAAAGAGATATGAGGTGATGTTGCATGCTTATGAGCGATGGCTTTCTGTTCTATGTGCAGCAGTTGAGTGTTGGAGGTGAGTCGAGAGAAGCAACTGCATTGCAAGCAAGTTTGCTTACGTTTCAAGACAAAGTTTATGCTCTTGACGACAAATGGGCTCTATCGGGGCTTGGCTATGACTACTACATCAACACCGAAACGATAAAAAACGCAGCCACATTGCACTACAATGGGAACATGAAGCCGTGGCTAGAGCTAGGAATCCCACAGTACAAGAACTATTGGAGAAAGCATCTGAATCGGGAAGATGGGTTCTTGAGTGACTGTAACGTGAACCCTTAATGAGAGTAAGTAAAAAGCTACAAGAGGCCAATGCTGTAGAAGCAGGTCACACACGCAAAGGAAAAGATTTAGAGTTGGTGGTTAAGCAGACATCTCATTTTTGGTGGGTAAATAAACCCGAATGCATTGCATGAGAAATGCTGAAGGGGAGAGAGAGCTAGCAGAAGTGGGTTTTAAAATTGATAGCAAATTGATTTTTAAGAGACGTGATCAAGATGATTGAAAATCATCTTTTGATATGATTTTAAACAAAAAAAAAAGAGTGAAGAAACTTTGATGTTGTATATGATTTTTGGCAACTTAGGTATGCCATTCTTTTCCTCGTGTTATTTTTCCATTGTGTCATGTGTCACTTCTTCTTCTTTGCTTTTGACTTGATAGAAAGTAATGAGAATTTTATCTATTTCTCAGTGCACCAGTTTACACTTTACACAGTTGAGAAAGTGATAAAGATCATTATCTTCGTGAAGCAAAACTAATTATATCACTTGTCTACTAAGCATTCACTTAATCACATAAATAACTTCAGGATAATATGCAACACTACTAAAGTTTATGGAGTCATCAAAAAATAGTGCAAATTGTTAGTTTCCTCCTTGAACGACAGCGCTTTGAAATGAATAGTATCATCATATATGTTTGAATAATCATATCATTAATTTGAGTTTGAGATCATTTTTTAAAACGAACTTAAATTACTCGCTGCTATTGAATTGCAAAAACAGTTTCTGAATCATGGCATATATCCTTTTTGTTGATTTAAACTATGGCATATATTATTTATTCATAGGACGTTGAGATTGAATACATTTTAATGAAGAGACACAAGCCAGATATTATTAATTATATATGTGAAGATGCACGTATTTCCGAATGCATGGGAAAAAAGAAGAAGAGAGAAAGATAGGTTGAGGATGATGATAGAATGCATTTATGTTCACCTGAATGTTTTTTTTTTCATCAAAGTCGTCCACTAAAATGGTCATCACCTAATTTTTAAACAAATTAATAGTCATTCTAACCGGGCTTCGTAGCCTGGTGGTAAAGGAACCTCGGCTGAGGTGTCCGCCATCCGACTTCGAACCTCGGCCACCACATAATTTACATGCGGAGTTGGTGTGGCGCTCCAGACCACTTAGCGTAACCAGGGACCCTTAAGTGGACGCTTAAAAATCCTGTCATGGCATGGGCTTAGGCCCGGTGGACTAGTCGATCACGCTTTGTGGTCGGATACTGGGTTATCAAAAAAAAAAATAGTCATTCTACCACGTCTATATATCTTATATATTAAAACAGAAGTCATGACTTGACTTCATGTGTGATTTTTTTAAAAATGGAATACTACTAGAAAGTCATGTTACATTAACTCTTTAATAATATTATCATTATTATATCTTATGAAAAATCATATCTATAATAACAAAGATACCCTTAACAATTGATTTTGGTAAATTACCCCACACTTTCCAGTTTAGTTAGACATAATATGTCAATATATATATATAAGTTTATGAACCTTCTATTATTTATAAGGAAATATGTCAATAATAGTTAAATGCATCAACAATATATTAATAAAAATCACAGATTCGTAATATGAAAATTTATATACCCTAACAAAATTTACACGCTATATATACTAGATAAATTTATTTCGATGTAAATTTTTAAAATTATATTGTTTAAAAAAAAGAAATTGTTTAAAAAGTTCTTTTTTAATAAAATTCTTTATAATATTAATTTATGAAGCTATAAGTTTATATTATCTTTTGCAAATTAAAATATACTAATATTTAATCAAGCATATTTATATTACTTTATCTAAAAATGAAATACCAATCTAACAAATAATAAATTATAGAAGCAGAAACCAACACATGTTTGAAAACATGTATAATATAAAAAATTTGAAACAATCTATTTGACTAAAACATGTATTATATAATATTATTATGTTTGAAAAACATTTACTATACATATTGTAAATATGTGATTACTATAATATATACCAATTTACAAGTGAAAAAAAAATGTTTATATAACTAACTATAAACGAAAACAAACATCCGCGCGGTTGCGCGGGTAAAAATCTAGTTTTTATTAAATGGCCATTCACCTAGTTAAATGGCCATTCTATTAATTATAAAGCCACACGACTATCTCACCAATTCGCGGCAAACAAACCAAAAATTCTACTTCTATTTGTTTTTTTTTTAACTTAATTAGACCATCGACATCATACGCTCTACTGAAATGAATTTCGTGGAAAACGAGTTTATATTCGATTTTGTTTGGCCTTTTACTATAGGCACAAATCATGCACGCATGTGTTAAACGTACGTGGTTCGAAGTTCAGATACAGCGTTTGCTTAAAGATTTTGTTTAGGGTTTTGAATCTTGAAACCTTTACTTATGGATTTTTTTTTTGTGAACTAGTTTTAACCTCTACTTCAATTTGCATATGTGTGTAAATGGATTCATCCGTTGATACCAAAGTTGATATAAGATTTTACTTTAAAAAGCTTCATTCACATAATACCCATTTAATCACATGACGTACGAGGTAGAATGCGAAATGAACATACAAAACACACACTCAAACTAAGATTATGGAATAATAATTTGGTATAGACTATACATAGTGAGGAATCAGATTTGGTAGGAAGAACAATTAGGCTGTACTACATCTGCAGTGCACTAAAGAGAACATATTCTTCAAAGTGCAGCAAGTAATTTTCAATCCATTGTTTTTTGGTGAAAGTGGGACGCGTCTTACCTCTCAAAGGTCATAATCACTTTTTGTGTACATATGCCGCAGAAACCACAATCTTTTTGTCTATAAACAAACGATAGATAACGAAAGGAATATAAACTATAAGAGAGGTCAACGTAAGTGGAACATTCATTATTACCAACGGACGTGGAAAAATATCACAATGATATTCTAATAATATCAAAGTTTTAATCAAAAGAAATTAGTGGAATTTTGTTGGGAATAGTTTTTCTTTTCTCTTCCCACCGCTAAACGCTTCTCAGCCACATACTTTCTTCTTAAGCTTAATTATTTATAATGATGAATTATGCTGTGGTCTTCCTTTCATCATATCATATTAAAACCAAGGATTGGTTCAAAACTCGATTTATTAACTCAGTTTATTTCATGACCTTGTTTGAAACTTTGAATTGGTTTTTATTGTATAATATCTGAGCTTTCCTTTCCACCAGTACTTATCCTCCACAGCTCCACTAGATTATGTTTTCCCTTGGCTCAAAATGCCCAAGGTAATAATTCAAAAGCTTGACGCTAATAAAAATACATTATCTGATATTTGATACAGAATTGGCCTTTAAAATCCATTAATAAATTATACTTGGATTTTGGATAAAGTATTGATTATCAGTTTATCATATAGACTATTAGCGTGTATCATATATGACTCTGGGTTCAATTTTGGAGAATAAAGCGATAATCCTGAATAAACATATTAGAAAATGAAGAATATTTCGGATATAACCTATCTTTTTCCGTTATAAAAAGATGCACTTGTAAGACAATACATTATGGCCCGTAGGTTTTCCTTGCTGTAGATTCTTTTTTTCTTTCTGTACACGAGACAATAATATTCTCTATTTATACTAGAAAAATCTAAGTGAAAATAATAAAATCCTATTTTAGTCTAAAGGTACACAAACAATTATATAGTAGAGAGAATATAAAACATCAAGAAGCAAGTTAATAAAACAAGCCAAACAGTAATTGACTAGCCGTGTGTTGCTCCTGTAAATTTCATCTAAAACCTCGACAACTTGATTAAGGGTTAGTGTGTGATTTTTTGTTCCTTACTCTTGCGTTAGGTTTGTATTAAACATGAGACTATAAGCTATTTTGTAGGGCCAGTATTGGTCAGATCAGGAGCAAAAATGCAATGTTCCTATATAATATTTTGTTGGAGTTTAGGTGAAACTAAAACCGGTACTATAATATTTGATTATATAAAGGAATAAATTAGTTTAAAGACATAAATTAAGAAGACTAGATATCTTATAGTAATAGCCTGAAAATGATACCTCTAGTGGAATACAAGAAGATGAGACCATTCTTTTCATTTGAGCACCACATTCTCTCTTTCTACATTTGTATATATAAACACGCAACCACCTTCATCAAACAAAATATCAACTCATCTTCTCCAACAAGAATCATCAAAACACACACAAAGAAAAGACAGAAACACATCTATAAACAAAGAATCAAGAAGAAGATGACAAAAGTTCACCCTAAATTCCCAAACACCTGCGAGGAAAGCTTGTGGGATAGTAAAGCAGCCGTAGGTTTAACGGTGTGGAAGAAGTCTCTTCTCTTCAACTGCGATGGTTTCACAGTTTACAACTCTTATGGAGATCTTGTCTTTAGGGTTGACAATTACATGAACTCTCCTAGAGACAACATCGTCCTTATGGATGCTTCCGGCTTGCCCCTTCTCTCCATCCGCCGTAAGGTACTTTGCCAATCTATCTTTTTTTATCTATCTATCTATCTATTTATCTATCTCATGAAACTGATCTTGAATTTATTTTTTCTTGTTTTATTCTATCAGAAGTTGAGCCTAGGAGATTGCTGGACGGTATACGATGGAGAAACACAAAAAGATCCAATATTTACAGCAAAGAAAAACGTTAGCATACTAACAAATAAAAAGGGCTTGGGGTGGGTTAGCGCAAAGAAGACAGTATTATACGAGATTGACGGATCGTATAGTCAGAGAAGCTGCAAAATAGTAGACGTGAGGATGAACAAGAAGATAACGGCAGAAATCAAGAAGAAAGATGCAATGGTTGGAGGAGGTTCCTTTGGCAAAGATGTGTTTAAACTTATAGTTGAACCGGAGATGGAGCCTCGTGTGGCCATGGCATTGACCATCATTCTCGACCAGATGTTTAGATCTTATTGATTCTTCTTTTTCAAGCTTTGTACGTGAGTATATATTAGTTTCCCTTTTTGTTATGTAATTTGTGCATGTGTTTCTTGTTACACATGAATAGAAACGACTTTTGTTTTCAGTTATTAATTTTAGCCTTATACTATACATAAAATGAAGTTGATTGACGGTGTAATATTTATGGACTGTTCAACAAAAGGTGGCGTGGTGTAGGCTTATAAGTCTGATTGTCTAAGGAAAAAAATTGACAGTTACCCACCACATAGCCACACATCCATACCAAAGTAATGTATCAAGAACTATACAAACTATATGATTTGCATGACAACATCCATGAACTATTATGTGTCGGATTTGGAATCCATCTACCGTTGATAGAAGTCCGACAACCAAATTCTTAGAAAATAACCATAATATACATACAAACTATCAATAGAAGAAATAAATACATAAATTAAGCATTCAAATGCAAGGTTATATAACCGAGAACATGTGAAAATAAGTTAAAATTTGATTATAAGTTGTCTAATTTATAAATCTGACACTATTTTTAGCTATTAAGATGGTGTTGATGGTGCTAGCAAACATAACACATATTAAGTTCATGGATGTCATCACATGAATCATATAATTCTTGTAGTTCTAGATACAATATTTTTTTTCTAGATGTGTAACAATATAATGTGATGATTTCTTCGTGTATCTGATAATCATTTTTCCTATATTTAATAACCAAAAGTTTTCTTTTCCAATAAATTATAAAACTATTTTCAATGGTTCAAGAAATCAAATCGGTGGGACTAGATCAACATAGACCATTGTTACAGAAATATGCTAAACTCTGCTTTCTAATGGAATATGTTTGATGTATTTGATTTGATGGTAAGTTATAAAGAAGAAGAAAAAAGATAGAGATATGTAGTTTGTTACTTTTTATAACAAACGTTACAAAATTATTACAAATCTTCAAGAGGTTTGCTAAAAATGTCATAATGTTTCTAAAGGCTATCGTGACTTAGGATCGATCAATCAATATCAAAATTTATGTCGAAAAATAAATGAAATAGTTTCTACCCGAATGAGTTACATTCAGGTCGTGCATATCAGTCAACGCTTGTTAGTGGATTGAGAAACAATACATATACACAACCCTTGTCTTCTCAGTTCTCACTGAGCTCCTTCTTCACCACTTGTAAGTTGTAGCCCCCAAGTGTTCTGTCTAATTTGGCTGGATTGAAAGACTTGTCAGCTGAGCTATGTGTTATCTCAAACTTACGCATGTGTTAGTTCAGCAAGAGAACGAGAGTCTCCAAACACTTGTGTATTTGTATGTGTTTTTGTTACTAATAGAGCTTTTGTTCATGAAACGAAACGCTGGGCTGATAGAAGTTAGTAGAACTAAATTCATGACAGCATCATCATTCATGTTTTTGCATGAGAACCAGTTGTTTCTGTCTGCAACCATCTTCTTTGGTATCCAGACGGTAATACAAACAATATCGACATAACAAGCGATCAGGATCTGATCATCTCATATTGCAATGTAGATACAGATATCAGTGTATAGAAGGAAATAGTCAGAAGACTCAATTAAACCTTTTGAATCAAGAAACCTTACATAAATATGTTCTTAAAAATTAATTATGTATATGTGATTTGTAATCTTTGTAGTCTTTCATCAGCAAATGTAGTAACAAACAAGAGAAAAAAAATATACTCACCAAGATGATGTGAGTAATCAACTTCCAAACTCCAAACAGAAAGCCTGATCAGTAAGAGTCTGGATCAAACAGGTGCGCAGCTTCAGAACTGAGATTTGTCAAGACTGTCAAAGTAGGGATGGTCAAGAGCTGCCTTTGCTGAAATCCTTTCAGCTGGATTGTACCTCAGCATATTCTGCATTTTATTCAATCTCACACATAAACATCAACTAGGAAACCCAACAGAGAGAGCCTAAGAAACAAACAGACTTCAAACCATAAAGATAAGGGCAATTAATGCTATAGATTGTTTAATCACAGTGGCAGGATTTTAGAAGAGAGCATATACCGTGAGAAGATCAACTCCTTCAGGGGATAGAGATGGAACAGCAAGTGACAAGTCTTGCGGCTCCCACTTTGGATACTCATGCCAGTTACGCAGTGTCATTACACCAGGCCATTGCTTCTCAGTTGGTGTTCCTAACAATCTCCACAAACCAAAAAAAAAGAACCATGTTAAAAGCTAAGGGCAACATTATCAATGGTCCTCAAATTGAGTACCTTAGCGGAAAAGTCTTTTAGCTTTTAACTAAAATCGCTAGATATAACATTGGCGATATATATAATCCTAAATCAATTCATGAACCTGAAGATACGAAGCAACTGTTGAAACTCGGAGTCACCATGGAAAAGAACTTGTGTCCGAATCATCTCAGCTGCAAGTAAGAAGCAGCAATAAAGTAAATAGGCTTTCCATAGGTCCGAGATACCCGAGATTAATAAAAAATAAAATAAAAGGTAAATAGTAGATCAAAGACACAACGTGTCAAAATAAGTGGTGGGGTAGACTAACCAAAGATGCATCCAACAGACCACATGTCAACACCAGTGGAGTAATGAGTCTCTCCAAGAAGAACTTCAGGAGCTCTATACGATAAAGTAACAATCTCATGAGTATAAGACTTCAAAGGAACAGTGAAAGCACGACCAAGACCCAAATCAGCAATCTTCAAAATCCCTTTCTCCTTATCAAGCAAAAGGTTATGCGGTTTGAGATCACGGTGAAGCACACCGTGGCCATGACAATGAGCCACACCTTTACAAAGCTGAAACATAAACCTCATCACAAGAGAATCTTCAAGCGGCCTAGGGTTCGTACACTTTCTATACGAATCAATGAACTTCTTCAGATCAGTGTCGAGATACTCGAACACGAGATAAAGGTTGGATTTGGAGGGAGAAGGAGGAGATGAGTCATTTGATTGATGAACGTGTTCAACGCAGAGGAGACGGACGATGTAGATTGATTGAGAGAGGAGTTGGAGAAGAGAGATCTCGCGGAGAGCTGTTGGTGGTATGCCTTCGTCGTCCATTTCGAGACGTGTCTTCTTTAAAGCGACGAGGTTTCCTGTGGATTTCTCCTTGGCTTTGTACACTTTGCCGTATGTTCCTTCGCCGACCTTCTCGAGCTTCTCGTACTTGTCCATTCTCACGTTAGGAGGCGATGATCTTTTGATCTTGTGCTGTGTTGTGTTGTGTTTATAAACCCTACCCCTTCTTTGAGATTAAGTTACCGCTTGTTATTGTTTTAAACCGAGATTGTTCCACGTGGCGTCTCGTTTCCCGCTCCTCTGGACTTTGAACTCTTCTCTGCAGAGTAAAAAGAAAAGAAACACAAACTCGATTTTCATTTTAAAAAATACTGGATCCTGTTAAGAAATGAAGATGGTGGTTGGGACATATCCGGAAATGGACCAGACCACATCAGTACCATACCAGGCGGCCAAGCATCAGTCACTATCCTCCCTTGTATTTATCCATATGTTGTAGTTATCCTAATCATTATAGGATTAGGATAATCATCCCCTTTATTGTTGTAATCCTTATCTCCTAAGGAATATGCTTATT